TTTTGTGTTTTTGTCTCGGGTTCTGTGAAGAGTTTGAATCCATGAACTAAGGTTTTCCGGATAGTCCGTTTGTTCTGCGAGTTCCTGTCTAAAGGAGTCCCAGTTTGTAATATTGGTTGTGGGTCCGCTTTTTGTGCGTCCCTTTCCAATCTGGACGGTGACTTCAAGAATAAAGTGGTCACTTCCAAGATTTTCTTGCGTGTTTGTCCAAGAGACATTAAGTTGGCCCTTGTAAAATGTCAGGTCGGGGGAAGTATCTTTCTCGACGCTGTTGCCTTCCCGTGTTGAGGTTGTCGTGTCGTTGAGGAGTGTCAGTGCTTGTTCCGAGGCCAGGGTGTCCAATTTCCTTCCGTTTGGGGTATTAGTTGTGTAACCCCATGATTGATGTTGACTGTTAAAGTCTCCAAGTAGCAATGTTGCAGCTCTATTGTTGTCTTTCATTAGCTTTCTTAATAGCTTGGTCTCTGCTTTGTACTGTCGTGGTGTCCAGTAGCAGTTAATAACAAGGATCTCTGAGGCGGAGTCTGGTGAGTCCGGATGCTTAATCTTGACCGCGACTGTTTCTTGTGTTGTCGTGTTGAGATGGGTAGTGTCCAGTTGGATGGAGGCCAGACTTTTGGATACTAGAGTAACTGCCATGGATTTGGCTTGTGTTTGGTCTCCCTTCTTGCTGGTTATGCTTGGTTGCGCGTATGAGTCATAGCCAGGTAAAGAGACTGGCCCGTTCGTTTCCTGCAAGGCTATGATGTCGGGTTTGAACTCTAGTGAATTGAGATGCTGTATGAATATTCCTCTCTTGCGGCGGATACCTCTGCAGTTCCACTGAAGTATATAAACATGTGATGTGTGTTTTCGAGGATGAGTATTAGTTTCCGTTGGTGAGTTATTCATCGTTGATGGTTCCGTCGTCGTTCTCAGGTAATGCGGCCAGAGCTTTGTGGGGCCTGTTCGGTGAGAGCGCGTGTCTTTTCCTGGTGATTTGGAGGTTGGCAATAAGCTGCTCGTTTTTGATCGTGGCGGCCTCTATGTCCTCAACTTGTTTGGATATCTGGGTTAGGCTATTGGCGATCTCTTGTATGAGGTTGTCTCTAGCTTGATTACTAGCGTTGTTTGCCTCTATCGAAGTTTGGACGACGTTAATGAAAGAGTCGAGTTTGACCATAATGTTGTCGACCTTGGTCTCTAGGCTGTTCATTTTGGTTTCAAGTGCGTTAAGGCGTGCCTCGTGCGTGCTTTTTGTGTGCTGGGGAATTTCTAATCCGTTGTTTCTTGATATAATCCCTTCTTTTATGGCTTCTGCAATGTTTTCTGTTTGTGGATTTTCTCGTGCAATCTGTAGGGCATGAGCATAGCTGCACGACGGGTGCTCTAAGTGCGTCACTTTGATGTTCTTCTGGTGTGGCTTGTTGCCCTGTTCTTGTTCATGTGTTGGGGGGTTCGTGCTTCCCGGTCTTGAGCTGGGGGGGTGCGCCTCCTTGGGGTAGGTGTTTCTTGTATGATGCATGCCAGTTTCTCCGACAAACTGAGGGTCGATTGGTTTATGTTTGGGGTTGTTGGCGCCAGCTTGAGATCCTCTGGGTGGAATCTCCTCACTTTGGAGTAGGGAGAAGCGATTTGACGTCGGCAGCTTTGGCCATTTTTCGTAGTTGTTGGAGAATCCTGCCAGCGTGGAGTGGTTTCTTGTGGAGGATCCGTTGGAGATTTTCCAGGCGTTGCGGCGTTCGATTGCGGCTTGTTGGACGGCTTGGTCAGCTTGCTGTCTTCTAGGACATAGGGGAGAGTTGGGAGGGTGTTCGCCTTGACAGTTAACACAGTGCGGTTCACATTCGTGGGGGGTCTGCGTGGGGTCCTGGTTTGAGGGGTTGCGTTTGCTGCATCGGGGGCATGTGTGGTGTGCAACTTTGAATGGGCAGACGTCCGCACGGTGGCCTATATCGTAGCAGTGCGCGCACTGGGTGCTGCGTGGTCGATGGGGATACAGACGGTAGGCGACTCGGTTAACAAATGCATATCTGGGTAGCCTGGGTCCCTCTACCGTGATGAGAATGGTTTGAGACTCCCCAATCCTTCGTGCAGCAAGGAGCTTGGCTTGCTCAAGAATGAGAGAGTCTTGGATGTACTGGTCGGAGTAGTGGGGCCTGATGCCGTGGATAACCCCCCTAGCGTTGTTTGGACTGTTGGCCTTGTAAGACCTCACATGAAGCTTGACGTTTTGGTAGGTTAGCGAACTGAGCGCTAGGATTTTAGTTTCGGCGGAAGTGCGGTACGTGTCGATGGCAATTAGGTTTTGCAGGGAGCGTACCTTGACATAGGTATCTCCGATCTCTTTGGGTGTAAGGCGCGCTGCCTCCAGAATTGTGGCTCCTAGGTTATGGGCGTCAATTTTTTCGAGGTGTATGGCCGACCCAAAGCGGATGATGATGGTGGCCGCTTGGGAAGATCGGGGTGCCAGACCAACTGTCTGCCATGATCCGTCATTTTCGTTGAGATCATCGATTTCCATGGTGTGAAGAGCAGAAGCGACAGCCAGGTTGGGCGAGCTCGAAGCGCTCTTTGACCTAGCCGGCGCTAGGCCAAGCGCCACCTCTTACTTCCGTGTTTAAATATTCTTCGTAAGAGGGCGAAAATTCTACGTGGTTGGTCAAAAATTTACTCACGTGTCTAAGACGTGTTCCGTAGATAATTAACGGCTGTTTCAATGCGATCCAGTGACTGAAACTGGTGAAAATCCAGTGTTTTGGCGGAGCTCAATGTCAGCTCGTCCGAACACTTGAAACTTCGTCTTCCTTCTCCGGGAGGAAAGAGGTTGCTCTAACGAAAAGCTGTTCCCGAACACCCACCTTCACCGCTTCTGTTAGTTCTATGAGCATTTCCACTCTGTCAGAGGTTTCATTCTCAGCCTTTTGATCTTTAAAAATAAAAAAAAAAGAATAAAAATGGCGATTTCTTGTTTACGTGGACAGTATCGTGTAATATCAATTATTGCTACCGAATCTGACTAGGTATATGGTTATTTCTTAAAATTAGGGCACATGTAGACTACCCGGCACAACTTCAATAATTACTTGGCTCTTTAGCGTCCGTCTCCGCATAAAAGCTCTTTAGCTTTTATGCGGAGGAAATAAAAATTACTGCTATTCAAGAGTTCGTCTTCCATTGAAAAGAATTGGATCAGCCAGTAAACAAACTTTTTTAAAGATTTTATTTTATTTCTTGATTTGGCGAGTGTTATATTACAAAGAGCCAAACAGTTTTCGCCTGTTTTTGAGATTAACTTTTCTTCAAATTTGTAATAGGGTGGTACGTTTGTATCAAATGGATGACAGTGCAATGCAATACATCTTGATATGAATATATGTCTAGCAAATTGAGTCATCAATATTTTGACGAGGAGTCTATATGGACAAATATAAGTTATATGAAACTTGTGCCATATTGCTTAGAGACTGTTCCGGTTTCTGAGTGTTACTTCAAATTTTATTTCGTCTTTTATTTTTTTAGGGATCAATCTTGGGAAATTTTTTGTATGTTTTAATATATATTATAGTGCCTATGACCATACTAAAGTCCCGGTCACCCTAAATTGTAGTTTTTCTTGAATTTATTTTAACAATTTGATGAGGGTAAAGAGCAATTTTATGATACTATTTTGCAGAGGCAGAGTGGTCTATGATACAGAACATAACTGTAGATCTTTATCTTCCAAAAAATCTGTTCTAAGCAAAAAGAAAGGAAGAAATATTGCTTACAACAACTGCGGCTAATGTAAAAATTAAAAAAAAGAATGATTTAGTTCTTACTGCGCCGCGTTTCAAACGGCGTCCTGGGGTAAACTGTCAAACTTCGCCAAATGAAGAGGGAGTGGCTCAAATGAAGTGCACTTTAAAGACCAGTCCTAGGAACTCTCCCTAAAAGGGTTAAAAAGAAGAACGAAATACTTCAACGTCACTTCGAACTTTTTATTACCTTGGCCATTCAGAGAGCACAGAGATTTGTCTGCTACTCACAACATGTTTTTTTTTTTTTGTGTACTGAGATCTTTTCCTGCTCTTTCCAGGGACTTACGCGAACGAACGAGTGTGAGTGCTAGCCTAATCTTCACGCATTCATTTGCGAGGAAATGACAGTGTTAAAATCATTAAACAAATATGTTGACAGATATCATCTACATCTTTTAGGTAGAGCTATGAACTAAACAAAACACTAACGTATGAAACACCCATTGTCAGATTAGTGGTTCATTACTCAGAAACTTGTCAAATATTTATATATTACCTTTCTACGGGTATTGGTTATCTCTGAGCTTATCGAGATACCACACAAAGATTCTCTAACATTCCAATTTTAGCTACACCATGCTTTTGTGTTTTTTTTTTCAACAGATGAAACGAGTATATGTTTGTATATATACTCCTATCCCTATGGCCAAAAGGACATATAAAATCTTAAAGGACTGGAAAATCAGTTTTTATTTCGTAAATTCTGCAGTATGCACACGTGTATTTTACACCCTTTAGAATACTATCTTTTTATATATTAGGTGCCGGAGCTTGTTTTGGGGATTATGATCCGGACAACTTAACTGACGGAAATTACTTGAAACTAAATAAATTCTTTGAGGATCGCTCTTAACTGGACATTCATTTTTTATGTTTTTCTAAAAGGCGCTCTTACTCGTGAAAGATCCTATTAACTTTGAGATATGGTTGTCTTCATACCATACCAATGTGAATATTTGCTAAATATTGTGTGTACAATTAGAAAGTTAATCATTAATAACGTTCTTAAGCCTGGCTATGATGTGTTTTCTGTGACTAGGTTTAATACAAACTGTCCCAAAACTTAAAAAAAAAAAACTTCTTATTGAGCGGGGGCAAATCAAGCATAATGAAAGGGTAATTAAGAGAACAACGTCATTAACGCGAAGGTCTAAACACGACAGCAGGCTGACAAGTGGTGTAAACCGTGCAAGCACTTACCTATAATGTATAAGGGTGGCGATGTGGGTTAGTTGGTTCATACTGACGAAAAGGCAAACAGCGCACAGTAAACGGCGACTAAAGTAAGTGCAAACAGGACAAGCGCTGTTCTCAACTGAAATTTAATCACATGAAAACAAAACAAAGAAAACAGCAACTCCGCCCATGCCACATGATACATTCACCATGTGTCCAAAAAAACCATCTCTTTACTGCTCAAGCCCAGTGACGTTTGGCTTACGCAGTTCGCGCCTGCTTTTATAATTGCATGCGCCTCTAAAATTTCTCGATTCACTCTGTCCCTTCCATAGCCAATGATACCCGTCTTACTGAAGATAGGTTCACACCCACATCCATGACAATGGAGTGGCCAGACGTCCCCCTACAACTCCCACCAATGATCGCAACGACAAGTCATGCTCCCGCAGTGTGTGATTAACACATCGGCCCGTCTGACCGACGTAGGCTTTCCCACAGGTTAGTGGAATCGTGTAAACAACTCCAACCTTGCAAACAACATATTGATTCTCATGCTTCACCGAGCAAGCGGGGCCTTTGTCCTTCTTATCTGCAACTCTTGCGCAAAGTTGCGCCAGCTTACACGGAGCGGAAAACACCAATGGCACATCGTACCTCAAGGCAACTTTTTTCAAGTTGCGTGAAATTTTATGGAGATACGGTATTACAAGCGTTCTCTTATTTGGCCTTTCCCTCCGGGGACGGGGTTCACCCTTGAGTTTCTTTAACAAACTCTCCGCAACGCTCAATAAAACCGAAGTTGGGAAACCTGCCACTGTCAGTCTCTCAACCTGCCTGGAAAAACTATCGTTAACCACATGATGACATGACTTCTCGAGTGCAGCTTGTAGGCAAGACGAGGCAATGCTTCTCTTGACCAGCTTAGAGTGCGGTGAATCATACGGAAGAAGACCCTTCTTTGAGCGTGGGTGATAAGACCAGCACTTGTCCTGTTTGCACTTCCTTTAGTCTCCGTTTACTGTGCGCTGTTTGCCTTTTCGTCCCTATAATGTAGGAGCTTACGTGGAATATTGAGTTTTGAGGACTAATTTATAAATAATCTCAACTGAAGTTGTATCATTTACAGCAATTGCGATGGTGAATTTTCCTGGCACTATACACAATTTGTTTAATCTTCAAAAACCGCTTGTAGCTGGTACTCTTACTATTACTCACGCATGCTAAGTTATACGGGGTTAATTTTACAAAGCACAAAGGTACTTTTTTTCTTTGTTCGATATAATAAGTGCACACGTAGACTTTTATGACCCTCAAGTGCAATGCGAAAGGTTAAAAGGGGATTTACGCTTGAATTAGAAGGGTATGCTGAATTAAAATGCCTTATGCAGTCTTTATATTATGTTATAAAAGGCGAGATATAAGACAGGATATTTTATATAACTGATACAATTCGTGGTATTTGCATGCCATCCTACGCTATTGCTATGGTGGCTGCCCTGCGCTTGCCTGGTAGCCTGCGCTCACGTCTTATCTGGACGGACAAGCGGCGGATGTGAGCGAATACGATCTCGGAGAAAAGCTATGGGGTACTTTGCACATGGTCACACTGTCTGCTTGTGAGATTCGCTCGTCAATTCTTAAAGGGACACTGGCAGGGTATATTTATGCTCGAGAAGCTTTTAGCTGTACGTGACATGTGAGAGCCCAACACAATAGGGCGATAATCCGATCCTACAAATTATCGCCCTATTTCCCATACCAGCGTGCCATATCATATCTGACCTAGACAAGTGTAACTTCTTTCTTTTTCTAATGAACATGGGTTTCAAACAGGTCACTCGCGCACTAGTCAACTTTTCGAATTTGTAACGGATCTCCACTTTAATACTCATCTTACTGCTCATACCTATATCAACTTTATTGACTTCGTCAAAGCATTCGATACTGTTCCTCATCAGAAACTTCTTAAACTTTCTCGTCTGCAAATTGATCCTTTTGTCATTTGTTGGATTTCTTTCTTTCTTGAAAACACAAAACAAGTAGTCAAAATTAACCAATCATCATCGCGTCCGTCCACTGTTGTACCCGGGGTCCCCAGCGTGGTGTTCTCGATCCCTTGTTTTTAATAACCATCACTGACCTTCCGTCTTCCATAAACTCCGCATTTGGGCGTTTCGCCGACGATTGCGTTATTTACCGAAAAAAGTATTACAAATAAAGATTCAACTCTACTTCAAGACGATTTAAATACTACATCTTCGTGGTGCTGTATGTAGCAGATGAACATAAACATTCGCAAATGTAAACAAATGTCAATCACTAAGTCTTCTACAAAAAAAACAATTACAATATTCGTTCTTATCAAAGCACTTGGAACATGTAGCATCCTGCAAGGGTCTTGTGAATAGATTTTACAGACACTCTATCATGAAACGAGCACATTTAACACATCTCAATCAATGCATTGAAAACGTTTGGCTTCTTGCGACGAACCATATATCTTGCCCCACCTGAAACAAACTACTCGCATACAAGACGATAGTCCTTCCCAAATTAGAATATGCATATACCATTTGGAACCCCCACAAAACTTACTTTCTACAAAGACTCGAATCTGTCAAGAAACAAAGCAGCAAGTTTTATATGCAACAACTACTCACCGGAAACTACACTGTTAGCAAGTGCCGTGTATTTGGTGAATATTTGGGGTGAAAAACACGCTATTTACACAAATTACCATAAATTTACACGATGAGTAACGGATAATACCTTCAGATATCATGCGAGGTTGTAAAAAACGTGTTTTGGTTCGGTCATACACGCATAACCGTGTAGCCGACCTCGATAACACGCATCGCCTCCGGCGACGACCGCGGCATCGCCGGCTATCGAAGCACCGGAATGCTTGGGGACACACTTAGAAAGGACCGTCGAGACAAATGCCGCGGAAAGAAACATGTCTCGGAAACAGATATGCACCAAAAGCAATTACGCCATGTCGCGGGACGTTGGCGAAACCCGCGCTTACCGTGGCTCGCCGCCATTTTCTGGTCGATGGCAATGCGGCTTCCCTCATGTCGCCCATGTTTGCATTTAGTTTAGGGCTCTTGATAATAGTTTTTTACACACCACAAATAAAGTCATGGGTCCAATTATTTGTTCAAAACAGTTAAAATGGATATAAAAAGCGTTTCTTCGATGTGAACACGTGACATTGCAGTTGGTTTCGTTTTTGCTTCAACCTTCAACTGCTTCAACTGCAAGCGATCTGGCCGATCTGGCCATGGCGCAAGCGCAACGTCGATGTACGGTGGAAGCAAGAGCCGGTTGGCTTTCGTTCTTTTTGTTTGACCGGAGAAATTTCTGGCAGCCGCTTTGTTTTGGTTTGACGGGACGCGAGAAGCTTCCCATAGAGCTTCGCAGTTTGCGAGCACATAGTGAAGACGTGACCGGAGAAGTGCCCCTGTGATGTTCCCGGAAGACGGAAAGTACCATTCGTCGTGTGTGCTTTGAAAGCGAGGGGAGTCACAGGGTCCACGAGTGCGCAACCACAAGCCAAGGTTCACGACAGCGCTGCGTTCTTCGGCGATCTCGTTCTGTTTGGGGCAACACGGCGATCCGAGAAAGGGCCGAAACGTTCGTGGTGTGTGGTGCGGTGCTTGTAGGTAGAAACCCGCACTAACGCGGAGCTCATATTGGTTGTTGTGGGGTTGCGTTTGACGGGTTTAGCCCCGTCGTCGTCAGCTGATCCGGTCCAGCTGGTCGGGGAGGACGCAGCGAGCGTTCTTAAAAGTAAATCTTCCTTCGTTCCGTTTCAAAATGTGGAAGAATGCCGCATACCGTGAGTAAAATGCTGCGGACGTTTTCAACAAAATTACGTCGTTTTAATTGAACAAGGGACTTCGGATAGTTTCCCTAAATCTGCCGTTTCTATGCTTCGTGTCGTTAGACTGCATTTGCACAGCGACGTGTTCGCACAGCGACGCACACCGCTCGAGTAGATGATTCGGTCCCGCAAACGACCGGTTATACAGAATTTCAGGGAAACTTAAGTCACCACCGATGTTTTCCTGTAACTCTCGTGTGACTCGTGTGAGTTTGTTGCGCTCATCATGCGGTGTGAATAAACTAGGGCAAGATTTTCTACCTGCCCACAGATGCATGAACTGAGACCAATTTTTTACGTAGAGAACATAGTGGTTTTTCTTTACATTGGGAAGAGGCCCGAATTTGTCTCTTTTCCCTCTGGCACTGCCCCAAGTTTCAAGTTGCAGTTTCAGTAGACATACCTACTAACAGGTACAAACTGCTCTAAAGCAGGTAAAATACTGGGAAGTCAGGACGGTGCGGACACCGTGTTTTGCGCTTCTCGCAAGGTGACTGATGCTTTTGCGAGGTATGCGGAATATGCAAATGATTTTGTTATGCCCTTCGTTTGCGTCTCCAGAAAAAAGAATAAGATTATTTACAAATTTAGGTGCAATCACAAGCCAAGATTTACGATAACAGTGCGTTCGCTTCGGTGGTCCGTGTAGTGGTATTATACGCTGCTTTCTGCAATACCGCGTCATGACGAAGAGCTGGAACGGTCACGGTCTGTGCTGGGCTAGCGGTTGACAGAAACCCGCATCGCCCGCATCGGCACCGAGTGCACAAGGGCTGTAGATGCTCGAGCCTTTCATACGCGGCTTGTCGCCAGCTGATCCTGCTGCTCGACGGTGAGGAAGCGGCGAGTGTGACCTCTGAAGTAAATGCAAATCCTCGTTCATCCAGTTATCCAGTGTCAAAGTGTGGAAGATGTCCAACGTGTACTGAGGGCGGGAACTACGAGCGTTTTGCCTTGCTTTTATAACCGAAACCAGAGCAGCGAGATAATTGCCTTGCGTACTCCAAAATGACGCAAGCAATAAGTTTCACCAGGTCGAGTACGTCACCGCGGATGTAGGCGAGACTGTGCACTGTTTAAACGCTTGCAGTATGCACGAGTGCTACCAGAAAAACGACGTCAACAGAGAAGGAGCTCGCGATTTTAGCATAATGCAGTGCCA